TCCCTTTCATTTTTCTGTTACATGCACAGGCCCATCTGAAATTTGCCAACGAACATCTAAATGATTCAGAGAAGGGTTGGAAGAAAGTGCTGTGGTCACTTTCAGCTCTTTGGCATTAACTCAACTCCCTGTGTTTGTACAAAAAAAAAAATGCTGACAATGGCCCTAAGAACATCAATTCCTACAGTGAAGCACGGAGGTGGAAACATTATGCTTTTGGGTTGTTTCTCTGCCAACTTTGCCGCTTTGAGGAGCCAATGGATGGGGCCATGTATTGTAAAAAAAAAATGTTAAAATATTTTATTTAATGGCATACAACATTAGCAAAAAAAAAAAGAAAAGGTGACTTCACCAATCAGGCCAAACAAGGTAACATTAGTACAATCAAGGCATAAATACATGCTGGTAAACATTAAAAACACTATGGTTGGTTTGGGCAATCATCAGTATATGTGGACCTGGAGCTCAGTTACAGCATGACCAGTGTGGAATAGTCTGGAGGATCCCACTAGGTAAGGTAAGTAACAGCCCCCCACACAGTGCCTTTCGAATTCGAAGAGAAGTTTTCAGCAATTGGGGAAAATCAAACACAAATCCATCCACTAGGGTCCGAGCATACTGGATTTTTTGTTTTTTTTACAGTATTATGGAAAAAAGAAGAAAAGAGAGGGAGAAATAAAGAAGAGAAGGAAGAAGAAAGAAAAAAAAGGGGGGAGTAACCCTCGGGGAGTAGGGTACAGCGTTACCTGTCATCCCAGAAAAACCCAAGGTCGTGAGAGCAGAGCAAATGCTATGTATATTGGAGGTATTCATCTGAGAAGCGGAAGAGGTCTCAGTAAAACCACCTGCTCTTATGTTCCTCTGATTTGTCCCAGATAGCAGAAGTCAGGTCTTCCATCTATTCAATGCCATTCACTCTTGCGAGCCAGTAGGCTACAGTAGGGGCTGTCTGTTGTTTCCAGTGGCTCGGTATGCATTCCATGCCGCATTTAGGAGATGCTTGAGAAGAGATTTATGATAGTGCTTCTTTGACATGGGGGTGAGGTTAAGTAGGATGAGATGAAGAACCAGTTGCCAGAAAGTCTGGAGTTTGGGGCACTCCCAGAAAATATGAAGGGTAGTGCCAAGTTGTTGTTCACATCGCCAGCAACGGTCAGATTGATTGGGAAATAGTTTGGCCAAGACAGATGGGGTTCTGTACCAGCGTGTGGTAATTTTATAAGAGGATTCCTGATATTTGCTGCATATTTTTCTGCACAAAAAAAAAGGATGCATTCTGAGTTTCAGTAAAACATGTTTGCACGTACCTTTCCCATTTGCTAAGAAAGGTGGGTCAGCAGTGGCATGGAGGTCTAACAGAGTTTTGTAGCAAGTCGAGAGAGATTGCGGATAGGGCCCTCGCTCATGCAGAGCTTCTCAAAGGAGTAAAGCTGCCAAGTGAAGAGCTCAGGTTTGGGCATGGAACACAGGAAATGCAAAAGCTGGAGGGCTCTCCAGTGGTCCAATGCAATAGGTGTTCATCTAACAGAGTATTAATGGGAATCCAGCCAGATGGCCAAAGAAAATGAGAGGCACGGAAAAGCCCCTTTGGGTCTGCATTATAAAACTCAGGTTGGTTAGGTCTGGAAGAAAGCCTGTATGTCCAATGATCTGCATCATAGGCGAAGAGAAGATAGACAAGGAAGAGAGGTGAAAGAACCTATCACTGCCAAGGTAGGGCCAATCAATGGGTGGGTAGCCAAATAGGCAGTATTTGGCTTGCCCGCTCAGGGTAATCCCGTGAGTGGGGCATAAGCCATCTCCCTTTCCAGCTATTGTAAAATCTTGGATGAGAACCTTCTTCCCTCCAGAACACTAAAGATGGGTCATGGATTGGTCTTCCATCATGACAATCACCCAAAACATACCACAAAGGCAACAAAGGAGTGGCTCAAGAAGAAGCACATTAAGGTCATGGAGTGTCCTAGCCACTCTCCAGACCTTAATTCTATAGAAAATTTATGAAGGGAGCTGAAACTTCGAGTTGCCAAGTGACAGCCAAGAAACCTCAAAGACTTAAGAGAAAATCTGTAAAGAAGAGTGGACCAATATCCATCATGAGATGTGCGCAAACCTGGTAACCAACTACAAGAAACATCTTACCTCTGTACTTGCCAACAAGGGTTTCTCCACCAAGTACCAAGTCATGTTTTGCTTGGGGATCAATGTTACTCACTGAACTGCAACTCAATGTATAACATTTGTATTGAGTGTTTGTTCTGGATTTTTGGTTGCTGATAAAAAGCATACACCCTTCATGGCTGCGTCAAATGGCTTTATGTGCAATGCTTAGTTGTGTTACCGTTTTGTAATGCGCAGGTTTCAGTTTCTGCTGTTGGACATAATGTGAAAGTTGCTTTCCATCCAAAAACTAAAATCATTACATTTCAATTTGCTCTATACACTATTTGTGCCTGTATGTAGCACTTTATTTTTAGTTCACTTACAATGAAGGCCCAACAACTTTACAAATACAAACAATAATCCCAAAGGTAACTTTACTAATAGCAATATGAATTGGATGTCAGTACTGGACATGACCACACAGAAACCTTGCTGTCATTCTTTAACCTACCAAACAAATAAGTATCAGGCCACTTTGGGGGCTACAAGGTTAGGCCTGCTGCTAATCAATCAATCTAATGTTACACTGTGTACCTTCTATTGTCCAGTAACAACACCTGAATGTATTATCTTTTTACAATGAGAACTTCCTAATTAGGCTTTGTTCCTAAATGTAATTAACTCACAATAGCAGATTGTTCTTCACTATAACTCTAGTTAAAGAGAAATGGCATTAGCTGATTTTGTAAAGTGAAATTCCCTGCAAAAATAATCACAGAGTATAGTCAATTGGAAGAAGGGCCAGTTTACACCACAATTTCTGTGATCCCGATGTGTTTCTGCATGCTTGTTTTTGATGCGTATCAGGGTGTTTTTCCTATTTCTCTTGAATTGAGGACCTGTGTGTTCTGGTGCTTTTGTTATCCATTCTGCTATGTTTGGAATACACTGCACTGGTGTGAACTAGAGCCATTGGAATCCATGTTAAACACTGACCATGCGTTTTTGATGTAATATAAAAGCGCACTAGACTGCATATGGTGTGAACCAGCCCTGATGGAGCTGATATGTAAAGAAGTGGTAGCTATTTCTACTTATGCCATTGTCAATTATCTTCCTTCCGCACTGGTCTGGAGGTGCTTAATTAAAAATTTAGTGTGAATCCTTTGTCACTACTAACATCTGAATTCTGTGTCATTTACTACTGACCTGTGAACATTTCTGGCCATCGTTGGCTAGAATCGGAGCTCAGAACACAGTGATTCCAGGTTCTGACTACTGACCTCTGAACCATTTGTCACCACTGGCCCCTGAACCCATTGTCCCCACTGACCCCGGAACCCCTTGTCACTACTGGCCCCTGAACCCATTGTCACCACTGACCCCGGAACCCATTGTCACCACTGACCCCGGGACCCCTTTTCACCACTGGCCCCTGAACCCATTGTCACCACTGACCCCGGAACCCCTTGTCACCACTGGCCCCTGAACCCATTGTCACCACTGACCCCGGAACCCCTTGTCACCACTGACCCCAGAACCCACTGTCACCACTGGCCCCTGAACCCCTTGTCCCCACTGGCCCCTGAACCCCTTGTCACCACTGGCCCCGGAACCCCTTATCACCACTGGCCCAGAACCCCTTGTCACTACTGGCCCCTGAACTCCTTGTCACCACTGACCTCGGAACCCCTTGTCACCACTGACCCCTGAACCCCTTGTCACCACTGGCCCCTGAACACATTGTCACCACTGGCCCCTGAACACATTGTCCCCACTGACCCCGGAACCCCTTGTCACTACTGGCCCCTGAACCCATTGTCACCACTGACCCCGGAACCCATTGTCACCACTGACCCCGGGACCCCTTTTCACCACTGGCCCCTGAACCCATTGTCACCACTGACCCCGGAACCCCTTGTCACCACTGGCCCCTGAACCCATTGTCACCACTGACCCCGGAACCCCTTGTCACCACTGACCCCAGAACCCACTGTCACCACTGGCCCCTGAACCCCTTGTCCCCACTGGCCCCGGAACCCCTTGTCACCACTGGCCCAGAACCCCTTGTCACTACTGGCCCCTGAACTCCTTGTCACCCACACTGACCTCGGAACCCCTTGTCACCACTGACCCCTGAAACCCCTTGTCACCACTGGCCCCTGAACACATTGTCACCACTGGCCCCTGAACCCCTTGTCACCACTGGCCCCTGAACCCCTTGTCACCACTGACCCCTGAACCTCTTGTCACCACTGGCCCCTGAACCCCTTGTCACCACTGACCCCGGAACCCCTTCTCACCACTGACTCCGTTAGTTTTTTTTTTTTTTCTTATTCAGAACTAGTGTTAGGGATATGAAGTTTCATTTTTGATGGGCAGGGTGGAGTTCATTCCCTGGTAAAATCCCCCGGCCGGCGGTACTCTCCCGATATACATGATGATGAGAGTAGTGGTCTGTAGAAGGTCCCAGTCATGACCTGTCATGATACAGACTGGTATGACGTCACACTTCCTGCGTACAGAGGCGTCTGACTCTGACTTTCAGTGACTTCTCCCCCACGTGTCACCGTGAGTCAGGGTGGGGAATCCTCCCCATGATGTCATGGCTGAGGAAGTTGTTGGGTGGCCCCCTCTCCTCCCTGCTGACGTCTATGGCTCAGCTACAATCATTGACTCACACTGACTGAACTCTGTGAAGGAGCTCATTAGAACGCCGCTCTCCCCTCTGTACCACACCGCACCCCTCACTCCGCCGAGGCGCGCTCCCGAGGTGCCCCCCACGCGCACACGCATCCCTCTCCCGCGCCACGCCCAACCCACTCCCTGCCCCGCCCCCTGAGCCCAGAGCCGGGTCCGTTAGAGAGAGCCGTTCGTCCGCCCGGTGTGCGCAGCCATGTTCAGCTGGGTTAGTAAAGACGCCCGCAGGAAAAAGGAGCCCGAACTCTTCCAGACGGTGGCCGACGGCCTCCGCAAACTCTATCAGCAGAAGCTGCTTCCTCTGGAGGAGACCTACCGCTTCCATGACTTCCACTCCCCGGCCCTGGAGGATGCCGACTTTCACAACAAGCCCATGGTGCTGCTGGTGGGCCAGTACAGTACGGGGGAAGACCACCTTCATCCGACACCTCATGGAGCAAGACTTCCCCGGCATGAGGATCGGGCCCGAGCCCACTACAGACTCCTTCATCGCAGTCATGCACGGCCCTGTAGAGGGGGTCCTGCCCGGGAACGCGCTGGTCGTCGACCCCAAGAAACCCTTCAGGAAGCTCAGCGCCTTCGGGAACGCCTTCCTCAACAGGTCAGTGTGGGGGAGGGGCCGGGGCACTACAGGGCCCAGCATTCCACAGAGTATCACTGCGCTGGGGACTACAACTCCCAGCATTCCACAGAGTATCACTGTGTGGGGGGACTACAACTCCCAGCATTCCACAGAGTATCACTGTGTGAGGGGACTACAACTCCCAGCATTCCACAGAGTATCACTGTGTGGGGGGACTACAACTCCCAGCATTCCACAGAGTATCACTGTGTGGGGGGACTACAGCTCCCAGCATTTCGTAGAGGGTCACTGCGCTGGGGACTGCAACTCCCAGCATTTCGTAGAGGGTCACTGCACTGGGGACTGCAACTCCCAGCATTTCGTAGAGGGTCACTGCGCTGGGGACTGCAACTCCCAGCATTTCGTAGAGGGTCACTGCGCTGGGGACTGCAACTCCCAGCATTTCGTAGAGGGTCACTGCGCTGGGGACTGCAACTCCCAGCATTTCGTAGAGGGTCACTGCGCTGGGGACTGCAACTCCCAGCATTCCGTAGAGGGTCACTGCGCTGGGGACTGCAGCTCCCAGCATTTCGTAGAGGGTCACTGCGCTGGGGACTGCAACTCCCAGCATTTCGTAGAGGGTCACTGCGCTGGGGACTGCAACTGCCAGCATTCCGTAGAGGGTCACTGCGCTGGGGACTGCAACTGCCAGCATTCCGTAGAGGGTCACTGCGCTGGGGACTGCAACTGCCAGCATTCCGTAGAGGGTCACTGCGCTGGGGACTGCAACTGCCAGCATTCCGTAGAGGGTCACTGCGCTGGGGGGACTGCAACTGCCAGCATTCCGTAGAGGTCACTGCGCTGGGGGGACTGCAACTTGCAGCATTCCGTAGAGGGTCACTGCGCTGGGGGGACTGCAACTGCCAGCATTCCGTAGAGGGTCACTGCGCTGGGGGGACTGCAACTGCCAGCATTCCGTAGAGGGTCACTGCGCTGGGGGGACTGCAACTCCCAGCATTCTGTACAGTATCACGGCATGTGGGACTACAAGGCTCATCATTCTCTCTCATATATATGTAGTGGTCCCCAGACACACACATACAAGTCTCAGCATTCCCTATTACTGAGGCACTAGAGGTCTCAGCATTCCCTATTACTGAGGCACTAGAGGTCTCAGCATTCCCTATTACTGAGGCACTAGAGGTCTCAGCATTCCCTACCAGTGTCTGACCTCCACAAGGGCTATAGCAGATTGCTCTCTTATTCTCTTCTAACCAATGGTCTTGTCACTCTGGTTATGATTGGCCCCCTTCCTTACCCCCGTTTGTATTGGAGAGTCACCTGCCTGACCTCTCACAATTGAGGTGACCACACAGGTATCCATATGATCAGCAACTGCCACTCAGATGATCAAGAAGAAATATAATTCACAAACCTCCATCTGATTGATTTCAGATCTGACAAGTCGATTGGCTGTGGTGGAATTGTATAATTTCCGATCGATCAAATGAATATCTGCATGTGGATGTCAGACAACCGATCATAACCTAAATCAATGAAATGTATCTTTTTTTCATAGATCATTTCTAATTAGTTGTGATCCTGTATGTGTTTGATATTTTACTCAATGATGAATCACTTGTTTGAACTCGCACATACCTAGATTGATCACATCCCCTTGTACATGCACAGCCACCTTGACACCCCGGTCACATCGGGTACAATTTGGCATGCGATTTGCATGGCATGTGACTTGCAAATTGTATTCCAAGTCGCACCCTGTTGTCCACAATTGGAGCGGTCATAACGGTGCGGTTCCGACTTGGTCAGAGCCTCACCGATTTCTAAAGTAGTACATGAACTAGTTTTGGTGCGATTCTGCAAAGACCTCTGTAAGCGGTATTTTACCTCATCCAGGTATGTGTTAGGATACCGCATAGCATTTTTTAAAATAAGTTTTAATTCACTAAAAAACGCTACTAAAATACCACATGAGTTATTTTATCAAGTCATGCAGCGTGGGGTCCCTCCTCCCATCCATACCAAGCTCTTCGGGTCTGGTTTGAATTTTGAAGGGAACCTCGTCACCCCTCCTTTCCTGACCTGCATGCTTAGATACGGGCTTGTAATGGATTTTTGGAGGGGATTCCATGCTTTTTTTTTTTTCTCTTCAATTTTGGCATGGGGACACCCCTAAAAAATCCAAACCATACCCAAAGGGCTTGGTATGGATGGGAGGAGGAACCCCACGCCGTTTTTTTTATTTTATTGCCGGCAATTTTCTTTTACATTCAGCTGTCAGTGGGGAACCCCTCTGACAGCTGAAACATTAACACATGGTTTTCACTACTAAAATACGGCATGACTTGATATAATAACTCATGCGGTATTTTAGTGGTGTTTTTCTGGGGAATTCAAACCCTTTTTTTTTTTTTTAATGCTATGCGGTATCCTATCGCATACTCGTATGCGGTAAGATATCGCTTAGTGAATTGTGCCCTGTGTCAGATGCCTTGCAAATCGCGCCTGAAATTGGCGGTTTACCTGATTTTTAAATCGTGCAACTTCACTGTAAGTCTCACGATTTCAAAGTCGGGCTTGATGTGACCGGGGGCTGAGGATAGGTTAACATAGCGTGTCCGGGACACACCAGAGAAACATTCTGATCTTTAGCAGATGCATGAGGGTGCCATTCATTCTTAATGGCACCCCCATACATCAGCAATATGCTCATGCGGCACAATTTTAAAGTGAGTAGGCGGCCTACGCACAGGCTATAAAGGTCTGAACAGCGTTTAAGCGATTGGTAAAGGCAGTTTAAAAAAAAAAAATCCTTTCCTTGCAAATTATGAGCACAAAGTGCTAGCATGCATGGCATAATGGCATATTATGAGGAACTCACCCCTGACGGGGCTTTCATCTTCACCCTGGTTTGCTGGGCATACCGTCCCTCCAGAGCTCAGTGCGAATGCCCCGGTGATGTCACCTGTTGCAGAAGTAGTGAATATCTCCAAAATGGTGCACGTTATAGTGGTAGTAAACTTCTTTTTTAACTTTTATCTACATTTTGGCTTATAATAAAGCTTACCAGTAGGTAAAATGAATATCTCTTAAACGTGCACCATTTAGGAGATATTTGCTGTTTTTTAGAGACTGTGCATGCGCTCTGAAGGGATGGAATACCTGTGGTGCTCCTTCAGAGTACTGTGCCGTGATTTGGGACTCCAGTGGGAGTGATGTCATCGCGTCTCGGCCAGTCAAACGGCCGGAGCTCGCAAACCCAGAAGCAAAACCGAGGAAGATGGAAGCCTCAACATCGGTAACAGCAGTGACAGCGCACCACTAGATGGCTTAGTTTTGAGGCAGTTCTTTCACAATGTGCTAGTGTGTGATGCATACTAGTACGTTATGACATTTCTTTGAAGGGGATTTTTTTTTTTTTTTAACCTGCAGTTTACTACCGCTTTAAGGAGATGTTCCTACAGGTAAGCTTTATTATAAGCTTACCTTTAGATACAAGTTAACAAATGGTGTTTACTACTGCTTTAAGCTGACCATACATGGGTCTGTTTTTTTTTTTTTTTTTTTTTTTTTCATTCAGCCATAACATTGTATGGGAAAAAAACTGACCCAATTCTCCCATCCACACATTCCAGGTGGATGGGGGAATCCTCCCCACTCTGTCATTGTATTCTGACAGCAGAGAGACTTCCCCGCTGTCAAAATACACAGATCGGCTATAGCAGGCAGCACTGATCAAGTGGCTGTTTTGCCAACAGTGGTTGAACAGAAATGGATCGGTAGGTCAACGTCTGTTCAACCACAATGGCCATACATGGATTGAAACTTGGCCAGTCCTTGCTGAAGCTGCCGAATTTCAATCCATGTATGGCTGGCTTTACTTCTGAATACAATTTTATACTATCTTTCAATTCACTAATACATACTTGGCCTGTATTGTATTTGTCTCAGTTATCTGCTTTTTTTATGGCACATTTAATGGCATAGATTGACCTTTTGAACCACAGCAAATCAGGCAAACCAGAGCTAAATATGATGAACAGAAATTGCAAGTGAGAGTGCGGGAGTGGATATTCAGATTCCTACATAATTTCAGTTATGACTGGTTCCTTTCGGGCCTTTTGCACACTGCAGCTTGAAAAAGCTCAGTACAGCATTTTTATTTTCTGATCTAAAATGTAGTGCATTGTTTACAATGTGCCTATACACACTGGCACGTAAACAAGCACTGTGTATTCATGAGTAAATGAAAAAAAAAAATAGACAAATCTGTGTTCCCGGCACTAATTTGCTTGCATATGAGCATAAACATGAATGGATTCTGCATAGGAATATATTGTGGATGTGAATACGAGCAAAACAAATGTCTGAAATTACGTCCTGAAATGCTGATGTTCAAACATCAGTAACATGTGCAAGGGGCCTTTGAGTGCACCTGTCCTAAAACTGTAGCAGTGTATATCAAACACACTAGGGCGCCTGAACCTACATTAAACGCAAACGTTTATTCTATTGCAGCTTCCCATTTCCTAGATAAGGTGGCTGCATTCATTTTCTTCTTTAGGCTTTCTTTCTATTTTCACCTGGTGATCTAGACCAGGGGTCTCCATGCTTTCTAAAATGAAGGGCCAGTTTACTGTCATTTAGGAGGGCTGGACTGTGGCCCTCCTAAATGACAGTAAATTGATAGTGGCCCATTGTTGGTGTCATTTGGAGGAATATGGCCCAATCGTTTGTGTCAGTGGGAGGAATAGTGCCCCGTCGTCTGTGTCGGTGGGAGGAAAAGTGCCCCGTCGTCTGTGTCGGTGGGAGGAAAAGTGCCCCGTCGTCTGTGTCGGTGGGAGGAAAAGTGCCCCGTCGTCTGTGTCGGTGGGAGGAAAAGTGCCTGCTTTAAAAGTACCTATAACAAATTAAATGTATGCAGCCAGTCTCCAGCCATGCTCTGTGGTCCTTGTAGCTGGGGTCCCTGGTATAAATCTGTGGCCGCTGGCATATCTCCCTAGTGGGCACACAGACTG